GAGGGACACGAGCGTGCGAGAGGGCGGGCGGGCAGGCGGGCGGGTCTATGCACGCATATATAAAGGAAAGGATTTATATTGCACGGGCTATTTGAAACGCTGACCCTCCCTGTGACCGTCAGTGGGGGGAGGAGGCAAGGAATGCACGTAGGGATGTCTGGGTTTCTCCCTGTCTCTCTCTCTCTGTCACTGGTGGCCGCGTGGCTGTATAGGTGGCGGGCGGGCTGGCCGTCTTCCGGCCTGTGGGGATGGCCATGCGCGTGTGTGTGTGTCTATCCGGCGGAGGAGCCACGGCGAGATGTGGGGCCAGTGGGAGGAGGTCCACTCGGCGCCGAGGAGCAGGCAAGGAGGGGGGGGGGGGGCGCCGGGCGCGCTCGTGTGCGGGGTAGCGCGATGTGGGCGAACATGGCCCGGCGAGCGCGCCGCGCGAGACTCGGACGCCCCCCGCGGCCGAAGACGCGACCCGCCCATGCGCTATGACTCTCTCAGGGGGCGTGCGGCCGGGGGGGGTGCGGGGGCTACCGATCAGGCCGCGGGGCGATCGGCCGCCAAGGGGCGGAGGGGAGACCCGGATACGGCGCCGCGGGCTCCCCGCCAGACGGAGGGGTGGGTGGAGTCCGCCCCCCCCCCGCCCCCGCCCCCGCCCCGGCTCCCCCGGTGGCTGAGTGGCCGAGGGCCAGGGAGGGGACCGGGAACCGGGCGCGCACGCGCGCCAGTTCACCCCGCCAGCGGTTGACTATTTCGCGGCCGGCGTGCGCGGGGGCGGCAGACCTCGGGTGCTGGTCGGCACGCGCCAAGGGGCCAAGGGAGGGGGCCGCTCTCCTTTCCCTTCCCCCATCCTCGCTTTGTCCCCTGGCGCCGGCCCGGGGACGCGCGCGCCCAGGACGCGCCGGCCCACTTTCGTCCGCCCATGCCCCCCCCCCCCCCTGACGAGAGGGGCGGCTGTGTGGGTGTGTGGGCGAGCACGGGCGGCGAGGCACAGGGCCAGGGGGCCCCAGGGCCGGGGGATGCGAGGGCCGACGGTTCCTTCGCCCGCCCGGCCTGCCCCCCCCCCCTCACATCGTCCCCGGGTCGGCCGCCCTGCCCGGAGCCGGGGGGGGGGGGGGGCTCCCTGGGGGGGGTCTTTTTGGGTGCCGGTCGCGTCCGTGCCGGCGACCGGAGCCCCCCGGGCGCCCCTGCCGGGAGGCCGTTGCAAGGCGCAGCACGGCGAGTCGTCCCTCGGCGGCCGGCCCCAAGACGGCGGGGGCAACCCTCTCTTTCTCTCCCTCTCTCGGGCCGGGCCGGGCCGGGCGCCCGCCAGGGACACGGGGTGTTTGTTGTTTTTTTCCCTTCTAGCGTGCGGGGGGACGGGGTAGCGCGTATGCACGCGGTTCCGGGCGCGGCGGGGGGGGGGGGGGGGTGCTGCCGGCCGTGCCGTGCACGGGGGCACCGACCGGCCCCAGGACAGTCAAACGCCGGCGTCGCCGGGCCGGGGCGCCGCCTGCCACCGGCCGCCGGCACCCCGGCGCGCGCGAGCACCGGCCCCGGTGGATCGCCTGTGTGATTTGCCCGGGCCTGGCCGGCTGGTGCCAATCTCGGTGTCGCCGGCGGCTGCCGAGGGACCAGCCAATGCACCACCAGGCCCGTAGTGGCGGGCGGG